TGGAAAAGACCACATGACCTACAGGTGATCAAGTGACTGGTTCTTAGTGGTGGATGAGGTAATATAATCACTGAATATTTTGTGCCTTTTTCCTTGCTAAGGCAAGGAAGTCAAGGGAGACTAGCGGAGTGGATCTCTACAAGAACTTCCCCCGAAACCCCTGGTATGCTTGCTGGGGCGTAGGAGGGAATAAGGGAATGTATCAGAGGGGTCTTATATGAGGATGTTTTCCCTTATTCCTTAGTATGAACCATAAGCATGGTCCCTATACTCACCTCCCCCCCATAAGCACCAGCGGGACGAAAGGGTAGATGTGGATGGGAAGGAGGACGTGACACTTCAGTACCACGACTGAGGCCTGCTTCAGCAAGGAAGCCTTCTTTTGAAATCGGCTGGCTCTGACATTAGGGTTTTAAACTCACATGGCACCCCAAAATTACACCCATTTATAACCCCATAGATAACCTATATATAACCCCTATATACCCCCTATATAAACCCTAGAATCAACACAAATGCTGGGTAATGCTTAGGGTCTGGGGTCAAGCCTGAGGTGCAGACTCAAAAAAAAGTGGCCAATGGTTCAGAGTATACTATAGTAGTTTCCGTTTTATTCTCCATTATCCCTATATAACCCCAATATATACTACTGTACAGTAAAACGTAGCCAATTGTTCAATTAGATCATACATTGCCAAATCGAAGCCCTACAACGGCGTGTGGATGGTCATGTCGTCATCTCTGCAGAGGGAACTGTGCACAAAACCTCAATGTTCCCAGACAGTGTGTTGCACGCAGATCAGATTCTGCAGGCACAGTCTGCTCGGAGGTAAAACTAGGTAAAAAAAGGCTGCATGTATTCTAAGGCCATGGGATCATCAACATTTGCTCCTTCTGCATACATATTATATGGCGCCCATGCGTATGCAGGCCTCGAAATTTCGACTTACATTTCTTGGGGGCCTCCCAAGATCAGTTTCTGATGGCATTAGCGGACTCTGCCTTTCGAGGCAGTCATAGTATCATTATGTAATCTGGTCATGCAGCTCTTTCGCGTCAACAACGCCTAGAATAGCACCTATGAACTCCCAGCTTCCGCTTCATGTTCCATTTTCTGTGTGGTTGAATTCTCCCATATACTCCCCCCCTATGTTAACCCTCCCCACCCCCTCATATTAAATATGCCCAACATACTATAATGTACCACAAATGCGGAGTATTTAGTACTAGGGGGGTGGGGGCCAAAACTCTAAACCATATCGGGGGAGGGGAATAAGCCAGAGCTTCCAGGCCGTCTTCCCCAGCATCTCGGGATGGACTTGGCTAACCTTGCAGGCCCCAAAACCCCAAAAAACCAAGGCCCTGAACCCTCTAAGCCCCAAACGTCATAACCCCAAGTATTAACCCCAATCCCTAAACCATGAACCCTAAACCCTAAGCCCTGAAACCCAAATCCATAAGCCATAAACCCTAGAAGCCCTGAACCTCGGTTTCTCCCAAGACTTTTTACCCAACCTTCCAAGATGCAAGGCCACGCACGCCGCAGCCACAGGGACCCCTTTGAGCTGCCCTTGAAGCTGACGCGGCGAAAGCTCGAGATAAGGGGGCTTAGGGTTTAGGCTTTAGGGTTCAGGGTGGAGGGTTTAGGGTCGATGGCTCAGGGTTTAGTTAGGGTTTAGGGCTTAAGGGAGATCCCTTTGCAGGGCTTACGGGGGAATTGTAGGGGTATATAGGGACGAGATTTACATAAGTACGTGAAATGAGCCCTTTAGAGGGGGTATGCTGGAAATGTGGGACCCTCGACTTGGGCCCTGTGTCTCGGGGTGGAATGAGAATGCAGGGCATTGGCAATGTAGCAATATAGGGACCCTAAACCCTAAACCCTACAAAAAAAAACCGAAACCCCCAACCCTAAACCCATAACCCTAGTGTAGGAGTGCGACCTTGAGAAAGTGAGCGAAGCCTGGATGCTGGAAGGTAAAAAGGTTGGCCGGGTAGATACCTCTGGAACTTGGATGGCTTCCTTCATGATTCATGACGCAAATGGACCCCCTGATCGAATTCGTCCCTAATCCATGTCTCCCAGACTACCTTTCCTGGGTACAAACTATGACACTGTAGACTGCACTGGTGTGATCGCTTCTGAACGTGAGTAAGCCCCCCTGTTAACAAAACTAGCTCCCATAGAACGTGACATCTTGGAAGACTACTGGATCTAAATAGCTTTGCAGGGCTCTCTTCTATTTCCGCATTAAATCTGACGAGCTGACGAGGAAATAGTGGACATTTTGCTGGAAATTGCCATGGGAACCATAAGCCTGAACCCCCTCTAATTCTCTCTCTCTCTCTCTCCCAGCGACTCAGGGCTCCCTGTCAACGCCGACACATGGACATCCTTGGTCCCTGCGCTGCTTGTTCTCCGGGCAACTGGGTTGCCGTTAAGGAACTTGATATCTAAGTTACTATGTTTGGGGTATCTAGTATCTACAATACAGACTCCCGGAGATAATAAGCCCACCCCTCCATTTTTTATTGTTAGTGGGAAGCGTCGTACATTATCAGGGGAGACGTCAATCACTGTGGGCTAAGGGGTTGTGCTGACTGCTAGGTCTCAAAACGAAGGCCCCTTCCGCGGTCACACTAGGATTGTCACAGTGATGCGTTAAGGTAGAGGGCCTTCATGGTCAAAGACTCGCTCGCATCCACGCGCTGCTTTTGCAAAAGCCGTTGTGGAGGTGATGGTCTTGACAGCACCGCTGTTTCGGGCTGGGACACGCTGGACGCATCCATTGTTGGGATAGAATCTAATCATTTGGGCTGGCGCGCCGAACACCATTTCGGGTAACATGCCTTCTGAAGGGAGAGTGGGTCGAACCTGCTGCTTGACTGACATGATGTCGGTGCGCCGCCAGCACCCTAGAGGAGCAAACTCCTACAAGATTTCGGAGCAGCATGGCTCTTGTTCTTGCCAGGAAGCTCTCTCAAAACTGTGCAGGCGCCTACCACGTTACAAGTTTCAGCCTAGCAGGAGGGCGGAGCGAGGATACCTGTTGAAAGGCCCTTACAGGCACGCCTGTCTGTAACACCACGGCCCTGTTCTAAGCAGCACACGAGAACGATAGCCAAATAGTTGCAAACGCAACGTCTTCACAGTGATGCAAACATCCCATGTATGAGTAGAAGTGCGAGTTAGCTGGATTTTCTGTGCAAATGTAGTCATCTAGCACCTGAGACCCTCTTGTTCAAATACAGGTGCTACTTCTACAATGCAACTTTCGTCAAGTTCTCAAACACACGGACACAATTCCTGGCGATATCTCAAGATATCTCAAGAACATGTTCCCACTCCCCCACTGAGCATTGGGTGAGGCATAGGTGCCTCATTTCCCGGCGAAATACTCCGCGACGCCTTCAGTAGTGGGCTTCATAGCCTTGGCTCCCTTCTTCCTGGGCGGCTCACAGCATGTCACGTTGCAGGACAACTAACTAGAAAGGTTTTTCCTGACAATCCATGCGCTGAACGCAAGTTGCAACATTGAATTCACAAGGAGCCCTTGTGTTTACAACATGTCAACCGAAGGTGAGGTGTCGGTTTGATGCAACCGCAAAAAGACAAGCAGAATACAGCCAGGACATGCCTGTCAAAATGCTCCAGTCTGCTGGCCCTCTGAAGGATCTTGCGATCACAAGCTTGCGAGTAGTATCGAGAAGCAGAACTGAAAAACGGCCCATGCTAATTCGAAGAACCCCCAAAAGAGAAACCGGACTGCTGCAGCACCTCTAAAACCAGTGCTCTCCAAAAATGGTCACTACATAATCCCCGTATGACTCGAAACCCTGCAAAACTTCTTCGCAGCAGTCAACAGGATGCTTAGACTCACCCCCTTGCAGGGAAGATCCCAGAACCCTTCTATATAGGAATAATGGAAAATATAAAGGAAACTACTATCTTATTATATATGGTTATACGGCGTTATACAGGGATTACGTAGGGATAATGGACAAGAAAATGGAAACCTCGCCCACTACACAAGAACTGCCCAGCTTCCACTGGCACGGGCAGACCATCGGATTTCCGTCCTTCAGAAACCCAAGGCAGACATGGGGGTTTCCCCAAATTAGGGGTACCTGTTGGGGGGTCCAAAAAAGAAAGGACTATAGTATGTTGGGATCTATATTGGGTTCCCTCTATTTTGGGAAACTACCAGGTAAGATCATCGGCTTTGGTAGCATCTCATGAAAATGACCCTCATTTTTAGTTTATTGGAGTGTTTAGGGTGGGTTTCGGGTTTCGGGTGTTTGGCTTATGGTAGAGAGTTTACGGACACAGGGGTGACCATGCAGAAGCTGCTATGGACCATCTGTTGGACGAAAGCTGACTACAGAAACTATACCTGTTGGGAGGGAAAGCGGGCATCCAGTTATGGGTTGAGGGTTTAGGAATGCGCGGGTAAAGCAGCTTCGCGTTAGGAGCTTACCAGGATTTGTGACGCGCAGGCCTGTACCGAAAACAGAAACATCATGTGACATCAGTTCCTTGACGCTCTTCTCGTGGAACTGCAGCGCGTCCAAGACGCGGAGCACTTCCTGCAGTCGCAAACTTCTGGTAGTGTGGAGGTAAGGGCGTGGGCGTTGACTGGTTCAGGGGTTTGATTTAGCTTTGTGTATGGTACCCCTATGGGACTTTGAGGTTGTTCGCCCCACCTTTTCCCCCAAAGACTTTGCCCTGAACGCAATGGTCGTAAACATAATGCACTACGCACCGCTACATCCTCCCGATAGAGACCTATATGTACAGTATACGAGAGAGACTTCTATAGACGACCTGAAATCAACCCATATGTAATCCCGATAAACCTCTGCACATCCCTAAGTCAGAGCCACAGTCAGAGCCCTAAATAATTGCCTGAGCAGTTGTAAGCCGTGCCTAGGAGGTCCTTTTATCCTCCTGATACAGTAGAGACCCCTGTAGAGAGGGTTTAGGGTTTAATCCCCAAACCCTAAACAGGCCCGTCCTCTACGTTTCGTCCTAGAGGGAGGTCATTCTTCATCTCTGATCGCACGATGCCCTCCTGGCGAAGGAAAGGCCAGTGAAGCAGCACCATAACAGCCTACATGATTAAAAATTTGAGGTTTGTTTGAGGCATGCCACGGACCATGATTTTAATACAAGGAACCTAGGACCATAATATTCGTAATTGCTGTGTCCAGGCTCCTGCAGTGTCCCAACTCCAGTTTGCCAGCACAGGTGCCAACATAGCGTGCAACTTCACAAACCTAAATTAGAAGTTGGACAGTGGCTCTGGGTACCGTCCTGCCTAGACATGCACATGTGCCTGCATATGGGTTGGAATATATGCGAAGCTTGAAACCATAGGCCTTGTCGATGATGTAGACTGCTCGCAACGCCAAGCCGTTGTCCAAGAGACATCCGTAGGCGTCACTGACCTTAGACGCAGCACGGGCAGGAAGGCCATCTAAGTTGCATTGAAGAGCTCTTTACTTGATATTGCACGACCACCCCCGATGCTAGTTAAATGCGTTCCCCAGGGAATTTGAGTTTGTGTGAGGCATGCTTAATGTTAGTGCGTAAGGTCTGTTTGGTTTTTCGAAGAGAGTGCGAATTTTGCTATGGCTAATGCTCAGCTGCCTTTGTAAACAGCTCACGTACACCCTCGCTGCCTGCAAAGCACGAAACCTACCAGGACAATGAGAGTCAAGCTTTAGCCTATGAGTTTTCAGAGATAGGGTTTAGCGGGTATCCATCACGCAGAGCAAATACCAAGGTGCCGATTGCCTAACCCCAAACCCCAAACCCTTCAACCAGAATTTGCATTTCCCTTGACCTTTTGCGTACGTGGCCTCCTTCTTGACGTCTGCCAGCAAAGGGTGAGACATGGGCCCAATGCCACCCTTGTCCTGGATCGAGGAAATCTATTTTGGGGGTTTCCAAATATTTGGGGTACCATTTGGACCCACACAAGGATTATAGCATGTAGGATCTAAATTTTTGTTTTGTCGCGGCATTAAGTGGAAAACATGTCTCTGAACAATGATCCCGGGTCCTGCGGCGTGTTCTTCCACGCCTGCACCAGGGGGTTAGCCTAGAACAAGCCTCTGCCAGATCATCACAGTAGGGCAGCATCAGTGTCTGCATGGTCTTGGGGCATCTGCAGCTTTTACCATACCATCGTGATTTTAGACTTCAAGCGTAGGAGTGCGTTTAGAACGGAACCTGAAGGTTTACTGGCTGCAGTGGAAGAGGTCTGGTTGCAGCATTTTCGCAAGGATAGCGGTTCTCAAACCTGAACCTTTTTCCCGCCAAGCCACACATTCAACAGGGTAAACTGTAATAAGGCCAGAGCCAGAAAGAAGGCCGTTCACCACTTGGAGGAGGTCGATCTAATCCCGACCAGTTTGGCTGAAGATGTCATGCTGCCCTTTCCCACGCAACTCGTAGCATAGAAGGGCAGCGACTATCTGATGGACAGACGCTTTAAGATTCGTTTCTTATTACGAACTACGGGGGACGCCGAAGGAAGTGCAAAGCTTCTGGGTACATACTACAGCTTCTCTTCCCAGTAAATGCGAACCCCCAAGTAAAAACAAAGATCCCGTAAAATCAAAGTTTTTAACATGACAGAGCTGTTTCTATCTCCTGCTAAAGACACTGTAAAGTTTGCGTATGTTCCAAATCGCCCCAGTACCGATCTTTCATGAGGGCGTGGCATGCATTCTATCTACCTATCTTGGTGAGACTGCCTTGTGAACGTGCTCCGTATCGATTGAGAGGCCCAGCACCTGGACTCCTCGATCGTCGAACTCCTGCAGTGGCTTGCAGGAAAGGGCTGTGCACATGGGTTTAATGTTTTTGGTATAGGGTTCTGTGCTATAGGGCCTGGTGTGGGGTTTAGGGTTTCGGAGTCTTGGGTCTTGGTGAGGGATCTCAGGAAACAGTGGTTACTTCAGGCGCTCTCATTAAGGGTGCTGGACAAGCAACCAGCAGTAACACTAAGAATCACAAGCCTCTGCTGGGAAAGCCCTACCCAAAACCCTAAAACCATTGAATGCAAAACTCCGAAACCCTGAATCCTTCTGCATCTTGCTGAACGTCACGAGCTCGCTCGCGCAGACGAAGGTGAAGTCCGCCGGGTAGGTGTACCTTCGAGAGGCACAACTTTACGAGAGGAGTTTATATTAGGGCCAAGCATTGTTTTGGTTTAAGGGCTCAGACTATAGAAGCTATATAGAGGAGTTATGAACTTGTATATGTACCCCTCACTCGTAGCTCTCACCAGTTGCTGTGTACCTGGCTCGTTTTAGAAACTCCAAGGCAGGCTGCGGCTGAGGGTTAAAAGGGTTTGATATACTAGTTGGGCCCCCGACCCTGTAATGGTGACTATAAGGCATAGTAAGGAATATATTAGGGTCCTCTTCTTTTCCTATTATACCACTATTACAGGGTGGGGGGCCCACCGAATGTATAAATGTATATGCATATACAGGAACCGAAGGATAAGGAAGAAGCATACGCGGACAAGTACTGTCTTGTTCGATACCTTGTTTCAGCCCTAAACCCTAAACCCTAATCAAAATTACGGGCTCCACTTCTTTGAACCTCGTCGTCAAGATCCCGCCATCCGATAAGCTAAATAAGCTCGGGGGCCCTATGCTCATACACGCTCTATGCCAGGAGGTTGTCACCAACCCACCTTACTTTGGGTTCCTGAAAATCAGGAAGTCCTTTTTGGAAGAAAAATCCTAGAACTTCATCTGCGAGGTGCAGCACGGGAATAAAATTGCTGCTGGTCCTAACCGCTAGGTACATAATGCCTTGGGAGTTGTGGCACCTTTGCATGCGGATCTTTCATAGGAGAGTTGCCCTCCCCTACAAAATTCCTAAGAAGTCCACCAAAAGCCTCGTATTTTGGGAAAGCCCCTAAACCCTAAACCAGAAGAAGCCCAAGGCACAGCACCACGTACTTCTTGCCTCCGCAGGTTCAGACTTTCGCTACGGTCCAGGTACTACAAAAAAGGCTTAGGGTTTGGGGTGTAGTGTTTTAAGTCAACTTGTACATTAACATTTGTCTTTGGGCACTTGGGCCCTCAGACCTTAAACTTGTTGGTAGTGTTCCAAAAATCGCATGCACCTTCCCTAAACCCTAAACCTCGAAATCCCCTGTCATGATAAGTTTGTGGTCTGGGGCACAACACAGGGGCATTGCTAATCCCCTCCGCCTCATATTAACTCCCCCCATCCCATCCCCCTTCATGTGAATACTTTTAAAATTGGTAAATTCTAATATATTGGATATATGCGATATAAGAGGGGGGTATAAGATTGTTGGGGAGGGGATTAATCTTGCAAAGTTCGCACTGCACATGGACCTTTTGCGTACAACTCAAATTGCAAGAAGGCCCTACATCAGACCCCTTCTTGGAACCCCAATATAGACCCATACATACGACAGTCCTTATTATAGGGACCCCTAAAAAGAGTACCCATTGTTTGAGGAAACAACCCCGCTCGGGTTTAACACAGCCTTCAGACTTCCCAAATCCTACGCCCGCAATCCTTTTTCCGACGAAGTAGAACTGCAAACCACAAGCCAACGCCCCACAACCCCATTTAACCATACCCCCAAGTTACCTGCAGCTTAGTAGTGACTGCCCCTGTTAGAAATAGAAGGTATAAGCTGTAAGGTAGGTGATTGGGGTTACAGGCCCACCCTTAGCCATACACCCATAATCCACAAACCTTTGAAGTCAGCTCAGTTTCAGTCCAGGCCAAATGCAAGATTGTCAGTTTGTGTAGAAATCCTACAAAGTCCCCTTCATGCTATACCCCCAGCTCTATAGAACAGAAGCCCATAACCTTGAATCCAACCCTGTGCTCAACCACACTCTGCCAAAAACAAAAAAAACAAGCGAGAAACCCAAGCCTTTTACCCCCCAACCCCACACTCCGTTACCCCATCCCCGTATGCTGCCTTGGAAGCTTGAAAGCTCCACCTCCTGGAAGGAGTCATCCGGCATGCCTGGGTCTAATGCAGGGGCCTACAGAAGCTGGGCTTGCTGTTAAGGAACTTAATTTCAGTTACCAATATCTGGTGTATACGGTTTAGGGTGCATAGGGTTTAGGGCTTAGAGTTACCAAAAAATGGGTATATAGTTAATGCTGGGATTTCCGAATTATGGCAACTTAATTCAAGTTCCTTAACAGCAACCTAGGAAATGGATACGGCATGGCCATTACAGGGGCTGCACAGGGCTTATAAGGAGGATAATGGGCTTGTGGGGGCCAAGCAAGGTTTATAAGCGGCATCTAGGGTTAGATGGGCTTGAAAGGCCTTTTCAGGGGGATACAAGGCTTACAGGGGCCATATAGCGATGTGGGAGGGTGTGTGGCCAAGCAAGGAGTCTCATAGAGTGATCCAGGGATACACGCTGCCTACAGGGGTTGTGTGCCTAAATTAAAAAAAAAAACAAGTGGATAGGGAAGATATCAAAACTATCACAGTATTCCTGGTTTAGACTTTAGGGATGTAGAAGCCTACGTTGTCCTACATATATCGAATAGGGTAGGAGAAGAGATTAGGCTATAGCTATCCAGGGATCTTAAGGAAATAGTAGAGATGAATCACGCTGGTGCTTAACGATGGACGGTTAAGGACTTTGCGGCGGTTTGGGGTTCTATGCTTCATGATTTTAGGGATGTGGGCTTTGAAGGGTTTCTGGGCTCTGGGCCTATTGTCAAGCATGGTCTAGCCCAACAGTTGAAAGCCACAACCGATTACGCGGAGATTGTTGTCGGCCCTGCGCTTGGGGCCCACTCCAGTAGCGGTATGTGTGGGAAATAGAAACCCTGCAAGTACCCCAAAACCCTAAACCCCGCTGAGACAGGCCAGTAAGTTCCTGCCCAATGTTGAAAGCATGCCCCAATATGTAGTCAAAGAAACCTGAGCGAGGTAGGACACAAAAATGCCTGCCTCCTAAACGTGAAGTACCCCCACCTCTAGAGCGTATTCGGAGGGGATAGGTGATGCTACTGTCACATCTTTAACCCCTATCACCTCAAACCCTAAACCCTAAACCTCCTTGTTCATATAGGACTCGAGGTTTGATCCCTACCCGACATCCTCTTCCTTCCCCTTAAACCGTACACTCTAAACCCTAGGAAACCTAAACCCTAGGAAACCTATTCTCTGTGCGATAGGGCAGTTTCCTTTCTCTTGTCCATGCTTTCTTTCCAAAAAAAAACACCAGAACCCAAGACCCTTCTCCCCAAACCCTCCATAATGCTATGTGGGGGTAAAGGGGTGTATATGGGGGCATATGGGGGTGTACATGAGGGTATAGGAACTAGCCACAGCTAGAGCACCAGTAGCCGAAATACTGCTAACTACAACAATAAACTGAACCGTAACCCTAAACTTTAGGCCCTAACACTAAACCTTAATCCCTCAACCCCTATATATCCCTGGCCCTATATAATCTCTACACATCCCTATATAACCCCTCTGTATCCCTACATAATCCCTACAGTATGTACATCCCTATAGCAATAATGGACCCCAAACCCTAGACCCCAAACCCTAAATCCTAAATCCTACACCCTAAGCCCTAAACCCTGTATATCATCACTAAACAGCAATACATGACCTCGTCCCGATGTTCTTCACCCAGTCGCATGCCATGAGCTTGAAATTTGGAGCTGGCTGCTGCACCAAGGTGCAGATGGATCCTGGGCATAGGTGTTCAGAGTTTGGGGGTTCAGGGTTGGGGGTGTGTAGGAAATTAAATATATAGGAAGAGTGGAAAATACCCTCCAAAATAGGCTTCACCCCCCCCCCCACAAAGGATAGGACTCCATTGACACGCGGTTTAGGGATTTAAGCTTCTGGGTTCCATACTTGATTGTAATGCTGTTTTTTTTTGGGGGGGGAGGGGGGGGGTGCGGGTGTGGGTGTGGTGTTTTGAGAGGAGTCTTTTGCTGGGTTGTAGGGCTGTGTGCTGTTCCATGCCTGACGGGGTCAGGTGCGAGGTGTGGGTGTCAAAGCTGTTTTCTCCCCCTGCCCAGGACGAACCCCCGACCTCCCCAAGAACAATATTGCATCTGATATATACAATGGTACTGAGTACATTAGCGTTGAGGTTAGGGGGGCGTCGGGGGTTTTCAGGGGAGCGGATTACTGGGTCTACGCATAGCGGTACCAGAGTCAGGATTCGGGCTTTGCAAGGCAAGGGTTCTCACAGGAAATTAAGGTCCGGAATACTGTGAAATCCTGCGCGCCCTGAGCATGTTAAGCCATGGTAATCTGGCAGTTTCCCAAACTAGTCCCCATGAAATCTGTGAAGGGAAAGCAAATGATCTCCTTACAATGCTGATATATCCTACAGTCCCAAAGGTCACCCCCTTCTGCAAACCATACCCCTCCACCCGGAACCCTGGCTCAGGGCACTCCACATTCGAGAAGCCCTCCATTTCTGTGTGAGATTATGCTGCTGTCCCGGGCACGCTTGGTGCCCTTTGCTTCCGCCATGACCTTCACGAGGCAAAAAAACACATGTTGGGGACTGCCTTGCTCGCAGTCATTCGCAGGGTATGTGTGGCCTCCGAATGAAGGTAGGCCGCAAAAGTTCAAACCCCAAATTAGTATCAATACCTAACCCACGAAACATAACCCTTACATGAGGAACAGTGTCCCTCCAGGACACTCCGAGTACCCTTATTTAGGGATATATGACTTGCCAAAATAAGTACTCAGGCCCTAATAGAGGGCAGGTGGAGGGTCCATAGTCCTCCTTAAGTAGATAGAATATGGGGTATATGGGGATCTTATTAACATATCCCCAAGGCCACATTCTATCTACTGAAGGGGAATCTTGAACCCTAAATAATCGTTTCCATTGTATTTTCCATTATCAACAATATAACCCCTATATACCCTAAACCCTACACCCTGAACGCTAAATCCTAAATCCTAGACCCCCCTATATTCTTAGGCCTTTGGGGACTGCTAAAGCCCCAGGATCCCGACAGCCTGAGCTAAAAATCCACAAACCCAAAGTCGCAAGATACAGGTTAGGGTCCAGGGTTTAGGGTTTTTAGGGTATAGGGTTTAGGGTAAACCAGAGGGGAGTGAGCCTCCCTTCTTTGGACCTACCCTGTAAATGCGAGTATCTAAGTATTTGAAGTGAACGTAAGAAAGGATACCTTGGCGCTAGGAGATTGCACCTAACAACTTTCCTGTCCCCCAGGCAAAGTTGCCGTCCGCAACTGATCTGGATCCTCCACAAATCCCAAAGGGTCCAAGAAGCCAAGTAATGGGGTTGTAGGTGATACTAAAAATCCAATGGTCATAGGTTATAGGCACCTGAAACCCCAATACTGGGATACTTGGACCCATGGTGAATGTTTTAGCCTCGAGCCAAATGAGGCATTTAGGGGGAAGCGCCACAGTGAAGTGCAAGTTCATGTGGGCTTTCATACTGAACATTGGGCTGCTTTGAAATTGGGATCCCTTGAAACGCACAAAACACTGTGAACATTTTCTCGGAGGTGTTCCAGGCAGCCTTGCTTTGGCGCACACCCGATATCTTTCTGTTCCCCGCGCCATACAATCCTGTATTCCCCCCTAATTGTAGGTGATGCTTTTGGGGATGCTGGTCCGACAGGCGTCTCAATATATCGAACACTCTGATAAACAGATCTGCTTGAGCCTATCTGCCCAACACGATTTCTACATTTGTGGTATCCAATCCGAGCACCCCAAACAATGCCATGGCAAAAGGGCACGAAAAACGGGACCCGTAGATCGCCAAAACATCTGCGTGCTCGTTACGAGCTAGACTCGCCAAGATAAGACTAACTAATCACCACCAGCTCATGTTGACACTGAGCCTTTCACAGTGCATCACGTTGGGATGTACTGTAGGAGCCGAGCGAAAGCCCGGCAATGATTTTCAAACTTCTGTACTTCTTGTGCACGCCCTGCCGGCCTTCGTAGGTGTCGGACCCCAGGGTGTTCCAAAACTTGTGAGCCCGCGTCTGCAAAGCCGGCTGAAAGTCTTCACACAAAGCCTGTAGCGCGCATCCGCGCATGCACTGCGCTGAACGCATGTTAAGAGTTTAATTAAGAGATTTTCGCATGGAACGGCACGATGCAGCGCAAGGACCTGCCCCCTCCCTTCTTCCAGCCCGTGGTAGACACATAGAGGCACCTAGGCACGTTACAGAACAAGATTAACATGCGCCCGAGCGAGAGTATCTGCGGAGCCACAAATTGAGAAGCCCGCTTCGGATTACCGCAAGCGTGGAAGGTGGCACACAAAAACAATCATGCCCATGCAACCAACAACAGAGGCACAAAACCCTAGCCCTAGAGTACATTACTGTGGACACAAAAAAGGGAAGACCTGCATCGCCCTGCATAGCAGTACCACCAATACCTTTCCATCGGGGATTTTACAAAATGCCCCTCATCCACAGTAGACCCGAAGCTTTTTGCCGCAGGCTTGGCTCAACTACCTGGTGCGTAGTAAAGAACGAGGGAATGCATCATGATGACAATATAACAGAGGAATGATTATATAGGGGCTGCTACTACTACCACTACTATTGCTGCTACTACTGCTACTACCACCACAAAGATTGCTGCTACCAATTAAAACTGCTACAACTACCACTGCTATTGCTGCCACTGCTGCAACTACAGCAGGAATTCATTCCTTCACTCTCTGCTAAGCACCAGGGAGTCAGTCGGAGTCCCGCCGTTGCGGAAAGCGATCGCCCAGGGGCCCGGGATCCTCAGTGCATGCGGGGGCAAAATCTTACGGCGGATATAGAGAATCTTGCATGACCCGAAGTACCCATAACCTGGGGGAATTATGGGACTCTAGTAGGCTAAGGTCATGCAGGATTCCTAGTATCCACTGTAGCAATGGCAAAATAACAGTAAAGTAAAAATCATCAGAATAGTGAGAATACGAATAGTCATCCCAGTAGCAGTGATCTAATGGCGATGGTAATGTTTCAAACAGTAACAACAGGAATAGGTTTGGGAAGGAGTTGGTAAGGAAGTATGCTACGTAGACCTATTTTACCTTTTATAAGGACTGTTGGCAGTATTTGAGGCCCCCTCAGTTTTCCCTGAGCCAAATGGGTTTCAAGCCTCCACTCATATTCAGTTCAACTCCTCAATAAAGCGACTGCAGTAAAGAAGATAAGAAAAAACCTGCATACAATGTTCGCTCTCTGCCTACAAGTACCGCATATTCCTGACTTGCATGAGGCTCTTCCTCATCACGGTAGCCCTATATCAGCATGGAGTGTTCAGATAACGCCAGTCAGCTCGTAAGCTGCTTTCTGTTTCCCGTCATTTGCAAGACAACACTCTTAAATATCTGAAAGTATCCGGAACCCTGTTAGTCAAAGCCTTCGTAGGCCGTAGACTGTAAAGCTGTAATGCTTACAGCCTGGTAGAGGCAACACAAACAGGGTGAGGAGAAGCCAACAACACGATGAGACAGCGCGGTTCGCGGTACGGTACACTCAGCCGCCGACTCCCCCGGGAAAACCCAGAAGCATCGACCTCAGGCACTCGCTGCTGAATTTCTGGACAGTGAAACGCATTTGCACCAACTATAACAAGAAGAGCTGGCTTGGAGCAACCGAAAAAGTGTTTCTGACTTCAACCAATGGTCCGAGGAGCTAGCGCAAAGAGGACTCATGAACCCCACCAACAACTCGGACGATAGAAAGGGATTGTTTCTGCCTAGGTCTTGGCCCACACTTGCTACAAGTGCGGGGAATCTGCTAGTTGTCTGGGCTTGAGATGTTGCTCAGCATCCAACCACCCAAACATATAAGCCCCTAAATGATTCCTAGCTTCCATGTCATTTTCCATTTTATTTTCCTTCTGATTCTGCATTTTTGTGGGTAGTATCCCTATAATCCCTATATCACCCTTTAGAGGGACCTAGGGATTCCATTTCATGTTCCATTTGCTCTTCCATTTGACTCTCCATTATTGGGGGTATTCTCCCTATATATCCCTTTAAAACCACAATATATGCCCTATAACACTATATCATTAACCCCAAAATCTGCACTATAATACTACAGTAGATTCCGCATAAACCCCCCAAACCCTAATCCCCATATACAACCAGGTCTGCCATGAAGCCTATTTGCTGACGTACATGGGTAGTTCCCAAAATTAGGGTCCCCATTTCGTACCCCTGAATATTTGGTGCCGTACTATAACTAACCTAGAATAAAAAGGGCCCATAATTTTGAGAGCAGCCCACATGTGCAGCAGCGTGATGCCATGCTTCTCAAATCGGGGGGCCCCTGACGCAGAAGTGTCGATAAGCCCCATTTAGATTCGTTCGCATGTGAGCAACACAGCGGGAATGGTCCAGGAAGCCTGTCTGGCGGGGTTCTTGATGGCGGGGCCGAGGCTTTTTGACTGTTTGAGACAAAGGGCCCTGCACACAATGCTCAACATGCTAGCTGCTAGCAAGCTCATACCACGACCCAGAAGACAGAACCACAACTTCGGAACATCTGATGTTCTGGAGAAGCACCCAGGCAAATTCTAACAAATAAACCTCATTCTGGGCACTATGGGCTTTAATGTCAAGTTAGCGAGAACATCTCCTCAGCCAGAATGATTCAAGGAATATGCACTCATCTAAAAAAGGCTTTGGAGCTTCTGCTTTCTGTCATGCAACAAACAATCAGGCAGAACCTGCGGTTCGCAAGCCCTTATGAGCAGCGCATGCTACATGCTGATGGTTGAGTTGCCTTTACCCTAAACCCTTACCCTAAACAGTAGTTTCTATTTTCTTGTCCATTATCCCTACGTAACCCTAGATAATCTCCATAAGAAACCCTCTGCCACTGCTTTGAAAGCCTGCAGTCTGCTTGACCCACGCAGCCCACAGAAGCCTTGCAAATACAAAGTGGCCTCCGTTCCGTTCATCATACTACCCAGTAGAGAGCCATTATTGTGGATATATTGGGATATATAGGGATAATGGAAAAGAAAATGGAAACTACTGTTTAAGGTCTAGGTATGAGTCTATCTGGGTGCTTGGCATCACTTCGCTCTCTCGGAGTTGGTCCTTGCATGTCTGTGTGATGGACCAGGCTTTGGCTTAACGTTCAGAACATGAGCCCTCCCCGGCTTTGCCATCTCACTTAGCGTGGAGCATACGCTCAAAGGCATTATCTTCCCATCAATTTGGTGCTTAGGATCAAATGGGGCTGTCTAAAACCCGCATCCTCTTTGCTTAATCCGAAGAATTGTTACCGTTTTAATTTCTCATGTTCGGTTTTCCAGTTTTGGCCTTATCGTTTTCGTTATCGTTATTTTTGTCTGTTATCTGTTTGCCAACTACCACTTCCACTGGCGCGGGGTTACACTACAACGAGTCGCAATTTGGGTGCTCCGGGCCCTTGAATGTTCAAGCCCGTCGCGCGTCAGAACTCAAATCCCTCAAGCAGCCTACTCTTGATTTTTGGTGCCCTACGCTAGTGTAGGGTGATGCCTCGGAACCCTGCAAGCGGATCTAAGTTCTACTGTTTCAATTCCTTGGTCTTCTTTCTCTGCTGGGTTCCTGTAACTTCGCCTGCTGAAAGCTTCCCGGCGAAACCAAATATCTGGAACAATGCTGGCTCCCAATACCTGAATCGTAACAGAAGCGGCTGCACCCTAAAGTGTAAACTATGCTTTCAACATTAAACCCCTATCCTTCTTCATAACTTTTACCTGGGTTCTGCTTCAGGCCCTCAAAATTATCTATGAGTCTATGAATAGGATCCCTCATACCACACTAGGGGAAATTCTGAATTATTTTTGCAGGTGCCACCTAGTTGACTTATGAAATACAACAATCCTAAACCCTAAACTCTAAACCAATGAGGAAGGCTGATTCAGCGCACGGGAAAGCTAGGCTGGCCACTCGCTGCCAGGCCTCATTGCATTGGGGCTTCAATTTAACCCTGAACCCTTTTTGCTAAACCCTAAACCCTTTAGAGTTCTGCGTTTAGGGCACCAGTAAGTTTGCTATTAGGATTGACACTGCCACCACTTATTACGAACATTCCTTGTCTCCATAACTGCTATACTGAGCACATCTTGCGGTTAAGACCTCATAGTTTTTCTGCCCCACAAAGCCTAACTCACAATCCGAAGTTGAGCCGATTCGCCTCTCCGGTCTAAAAACACACCATACGGAGTGAGGTCGTTACAATTTGGGCCGTTATTCTCTTCTTGAGGTTCTAGGGATATATAGAGGTGATGTAGGCATAGACCGTATAGCGTTTAGGGTTACAAGGGTTTAGGGCGTAGGGGTATGAAACCAATAGTGGAGACTCAATTGGAGAAAATGGAAAATCAAATGGAAATCAGGACATGACATTTTCCTACATAGAGGGACCCCAATGTAGGCGCTTATAGGGAACTCCAAAAAAGTACCCCTACTTTTGAGAAATAGAGGGGTGAATGCTTGGCGTGTTTGGAGTGCGGATTGGCAGCACAAAGGGCTTTTGTAAAGTGGAGCACAGGCTTGTTGAGGGTTCAGGTTCAGCGTCCCTGGAAGGTTTAAGGTTTAGGACTTAGGGCTGAATCCCTGAATCCTGAATCCCGAACCTCAAACCTGCGAGAGTTGAACCCTACGCTTACATAAATCCTGGGAGGTCCTCTGATTCTAATCCCACAAATTCTGAAACCTAAAGAGTTTGGGGTTGAATTAGGAACTCTGAAAGCCTGAAACCCTGCCTCGTGGGCCCGCAACCTTACTCCTGCGCCTTGCCCTGCGTTAACCCTTTACAGGTCTTGGCTAAACCCTAATCTCTATACTTACTACAAGTTCCTCTGAATCTCCAAGTGGCAGTTTCCCTGTATAGGTGGGCCGCAAAAGAGAACCTCAAAATAGTATAACCCTTATCCCCCAAAATGGTACCTCTAATTGGGGGAAATCGGAGTGAACCTCCCAAGCCAGGCGCCCCTAAAGCCTTAACCCTAAACCCCAAACTCTATAGTCCCCAAGTCCCGCCTACCCCCCCCCCCAAGACCCCAACATAGATCCCTCAAAATCTAGAATTCTTATCCCCCCAATTTGGCTCTCTCATTTAGGAACCCCTAAACCCTAAACCCTAAAACCCTAAACCCCCTAAACCCTAAACCCCAAACCCCTAAACCCTAAACCCTAAACCCCTAAACCCCTAAACCTCCGAGGCCAGGCGACGCTCTCCATCAGGAGGAGGCCTCGCACCAGAGGCTCTGGGTCGACTTCCGGCCTCCGGCTCGCAGGGTTTAGGGGCTTAGGGGTTTTAGGGTTTTAGGGTTGGGTGTTAGGGGTTTAGGGTTTAGGCAGATTTCGGTATCCCAAACCCCCCAAATTAGGAACCCCTATGACTATCTTATGATAGTCATAGGGTCCTAATATTGGTGCTTGGGGTTACCGAAATCTTTTCACTAGTGCTGAAATCAAGGGTCCCAGGTTGAGGTCGCAGGTTTAGGGCTATGGTTAAAGGCGTATCATGGGATTTAGGACATCGTGAACCTTGAAACCTCATCCTTGCAACCATGAAAATTCCGAAGCCCCAACCCCGGGAACTCTAACTTATCTATATCCTCATCACTTATAGATCCCTACATGAGGCCTTAGACCCTACATAAGGCCCCAGCATTACATGCGTAGTTACCATGTGGGACCGCCACATGAGCATACATTGCTCACATACGGATAATGCGGGTATATGAGGTTTACACAGGCCTCAAATAAGGGTAGCCCCCCAAACTCTATCCAAAAGTGTAAACCCTGCACAAGCCCTTAACCCCTAAACCATAACCCTAAACCCTCAGCCCCTCAGGATAAGCGGCCTCCAAGGTTTACAATTTTCCCGAAATTAAAGGTTGCCTTAAAAGGGGATGTAGTGTTATATAGGGTTACATAAGGTTTAGGGTTCCCTCGAAATAGTGCTTCCTTTTTTTAAGGTTTCCTCTATGAAGGTTTATGGTATTTTGCGGTCGATACTGATACTGGGGTCGCCCTGTTTATGGAAATTACCATGTTGTTCGGAGGTCTACTTGAAGTACTTTATACCTTCATGATACAAGGAATCTAGGACCATAATATCGGTAGCTACTTCGGCTCTACATTGCTTAAGAGGGTTCGGGGTTTCAAGGACTTGTTTCACATGCATGTGTACATCTTCATATGCATGTGTATATATATATATGTCTACATATACACCGCGTACATGGCTCTCTCTCTCTCTCTCTCTCTTTCGAAAATGACAAGGTTTCGATGTACGATGGATACCATAAAGCTGCTCAATCACTTGGGCATGTAAGCCTAGATAATCAACAAAGAATCTTTTGGCTTCACAAAAGCGACCCACATTGCGTATAGGATTAGCGCCCGGCATACCACTGGCTGAAAATAGCTCACAACTGCTGAAGTCTAGTCAAAAAAAGATCTTTACCTTTACACCTGGCTTCAACACTCGCAGCATCCTCTGCAGCAAGCACCCTCAGACCCTCAGAGTTCACTAATGGCCCCATGTGTACCCCAAAGATGCCATGATTTCAGAGATAGCCTGCTTTGAAGCCACAAGGAGGCTGCTAACCCATCGTTCCAAACGTTTGAAGACTGTCTGCTACATTTTTCTTATCTCATAGGATGCCACGAGCCCCCTCAAAAGGACTTCAGCATATGGCCTCTCTTGCTGCTTGGCCAGTGAAGCCATCAGCTGTGCGCGTCCCGTGCGCCAGGACGACCATACCTCGGGAGGGAGGGGAGGTAGGGAGACGGGAGTATTTTTGGGGATAAATAAGTCATTGGAATCTGCTACGGGTCCCTGTTTGGGCGATATTTGCGGCTTCTCTGCATGCACGAGCAAATCAAGAGGCATATGAAGAGACTAGGTAAAGGAATGGGTGGTCAGTCTCGATGTGGGGGCTGTGCAAAGTCATGGTAGCATTTTGGTGCTCCTCACCAGAGCGGTTCCATTACTGCAGCAGTGACCGGGAAGCACATCTGGGACCTCATGTTTAAAAAGTTCCCTCAGCTTCATGGCCCATGTCAGTCTTCTTGGGCACCCCTGCAGCTCAGGGCTATGTGAAGTGTAAAGTATTTGATGTAAAAATGAGCAACACATCTTCTGCGGACTCTGCCTGCAAGGCGTTTAAGATCCCAAACCCCAAAAGGGATCTTAAACACAAAAAATCCCTCGGGATTAATTGGAGAGCGCGGGGATTGCTGAAAGCTTTGCACGTCGTTGGTGATCTCATCCCTAACCTAGTAAACCTTAAACCTGATAA